TTGAAGACCAAGGACTGCGGAAAATCAGGCTGGAGAAGAATTTTCATAAAATGAGAGCATGCGGCCCACAGCCTTGGGGTCCTGCTCTTCTTCAAGCTACTGACGTGCAGCATCAGCCATTCTCTCATCATCACTCTTATGGGCCAGGGTGGGAAAGGTGGTCTGTGGGCTTGGGCTGGGCTGGAAAGCATTCCTGTGAGCTGGAGGCTCCTTTAAATGCACTCCTAGGCCTGCCAGGGGAATTCAGTTGCAGAGCGAAAAAACCTCAAAACAGGGGATATTATCCCATCAAATGGAAATAAAGTTGCTTGGTAAAGGAGAGTGATGGCATGATATGTTTACAAGTCCTCTTTAAATGACATGTCACTAAGGCATCCCCAGCAGACTATAGGCTCCTACTGGAGCGCTTGTGGCAATGGAACTTTGAGAAGTGGCCATTGTAACATATTATTACCTGAAGTGCATTACCCTAACTAGGACAATGAGGGTTTGGTGGGGGCATCTGGAAAGTTCTGGCAAGGAGGATTAGGATTAGAACTCTGGAATTTAAAGGACCTTAGGGATCATCTCATCTCGCCCCCTCATGGAATAGATGAAGAAACAGGATTTTGTAGCATGACGTTGACTTATCCAGGGGTGACATAGCATGCCCACGTATTCGGATGGAAAGGGAGGAGCTTTCCTCTCATTCATAGCCAAGAAAGGCTCACATTCTAGAGGTGCCAGGGTGGGAGACAATTAGAAAAAGTGAATGAGTGTCAACCATATGTGGAAGGATCCTGGGTTGGGGAGTTCAGAGGCCACAGTACTAGTCTTGTCCCTGAATTCTGAGCTTCAGTCTCCTCTTTTGTCCCACGGGAACTTAAGCAACATTCAAGCTGTAATTCCTGCAAGGTGTGACCAAGGAGGACGGGTGAGCAGAGTGAGCTTCAGAGACACCTTCAACCTGAGCAGCCCACTTCTGTTTTCTGTATCGGGCCTACTAGAAGATTTGTTAGAAGAAAATGTGCACTGGGGAGAAAATATTTGAAAAACAATAACCGCAACAACATGAGACTAGATGAGTCTCCAGGGTTCCCCATAGCCTGACATTCTGTGATCTCTCAACTCCAGGAGGGGAACTCTGCTGGGCACATGTGGGCAAGGGCACAAGCAGAGAAACACATCCTGCTCCCCCTGCCCAATATGTTAATTCCTTCTTCCAAAGAAACTGGAAAAACGTGTCCAAATCAGAGTTGCAAGGACAATGGGGCACTTCAGGTGGGCAGCTCAGTCCCAGCGTTGCCGCAAGACTGCTTCTTTGCTATGCCCAGAGGTCACAAGTCTAATTTTGGAGCAAAGAGTGTGCTATAAGATTTTCTCATCCACTCCAGATCATTTGGGAGTTAGTGGCAGATCTGGGACTAGAACAGCCATTTCCTGAATCCCAAGCAAGAACCCGGGACCATGCTGCCCTTCCAGAAGGCCTAGTTCCATCTCCTTGAGCTTTCAGGAAGGTGCCTCACCACCTAGGATTGAAACCATCAATCAATTTCCAAAATATTCTCCAGCCAGAAAGGCCAAACTCTGGTTAGAAATGTATTCCAGTGCCCTTAATTCTGTGTCACATAAGGTCTTCAGATTCTATTGTTGTCCTCGAAAAGTACCTTGTCATTTTTTTCCACTACAAAATACAGCTGATGTCAGCTCCTTAATCTGTCTTGCCAGGAGACTCGATTTATTTGGGGGCAAAGGAATGAGTTAAATCCTCTATTGTGTGTTTATCATCTTGATAAAGGAGTCCTAACAAGGTCAAAGTTGGCATCTGTCTGAACAAGAGGAAAACCTGTGAGAAACGATTGCTCAGTACCTATGAATTGAGAGTCAATTCTTGGGGTGGAGGGAGGGGGGAATCATGAAAATAAGCCATGGTTACAACTAGAGAAAAAAAATTCTGTAATTTCTGTGGTCTTGAAGCCTTAGCTACCAATAAAAGCAAGTGTTTTCACTGACAAAATTTCTAGATGGTAGACATGTTTGAAAGTAGAGAATAAAGAAGTTGGGACATTCACATCTAGGCTTGTCTAAATCCATGGAACTTACTGCCATGTTAAGCCAATCTTTGGTCATTTTCCTCCTGGTTAAGTCCATGCTTGAATCCAAATATTTGAGAATGCCATAGTTTTATGACCAGCATTAGTTGGGAGAATGGGCTGGGGGATTCTGCCCCCTACCCATAATGCATCTTCTCCTGGAGCTTTGCTCTATCAGAGGCTAGGCTACATCCTGGGAGATATAACTGACCTTTCTCAGAAATTTCACTTTAGGATGATGAACACTTACGGTCTCGGTGAATATCCCCTGCTCGATCTTTGTGACTCTGAGAAGTGGGCTCCATCTTTAATGAATTTGTAGAAACTGCATGTCAATCTAGATTAGCAACCCACTTCATCTCTTAGAGCAACCAGTTCCACCTCTTCTCATTCTTTACCTCTCAGTCCTTTATTGTCATTATTCTTTTCCATCTTGTACAATGGCTATTTTTCTAGGCTCATCTCTCTTTGTAAGGGACCAGGTCTTTTGTATTCTTAAATTCTCATAGTCCTTAGTGGAGGACATTCAAAGAGGGGCAGCATCCCACAGAGCAGTGCTTCTCAAATGGGGAGATTTTGCTCCTCTGCGGATATTGGCAACTTTTGGAGATATTTTGGGTTGTCACAAATGGAGGGGGAGTGCTGTTGGCATCTAGGGAGTAGAAGCCAGGGATGCTCCTAAAAATCCTATAATTCTCAAAACCGCTTTCCTTAGCAAAGAATTATTAGGCCCAAATGTCAATAGTCCTGAAATTGAGAAACCCTGCCATGCAGCACCAATTTTGGAAAATTTTTAGTCATGGAAAACTTGTTGTAAATGGAATATTTGACGCAGACCCAAAATATATGGTAAGCAATACCCAACATTTAAAATGAATTTCAGCAGGGTAGGGGTTCATAGCTCCACTTACCAGGCCTCCCTGCCCCCCTCTAGTGGTCTTGTAAGCCCCTGCAGTATTCCTGGGACTCAGTGGAGCACAGCTGATGTAGCCGAAAGAGCATGGGACTGAACGTCATGAGATATGGGTTTGGAACCTTGATCTACCACTCACTAGCTGGACAACCTGGGGTGAATTTCTTCACCTTGTTAGGCTTGTTTCTTTGCCTGCAAAATGGGATAGTTGTACCTATCTCATAGGATGGCTTTAAAGGTTGAATGAGTATCATAAGTGTAAAAGCACCTTGTAAACTCACTGCTCTGCTGTTGATCAAACACTATGGTTAGTACAGGCTAACTAGTTGAATTACTGACTGTGGCAAAATGAGGCTACATTAATACTAAAAATATACGAAGGCTACTCTAGAGTGGATTGATGAGAACCTCTTTCAGGAAGCCAGAGAGAGCTTAGAAAGCAGGTTCTTAGGTCTCTACACCTTTGTGAGTCAGATACAATCTTAATAAACATGATCTCTCAGAAGTACTCCAACCTTTCTCAGCCCCACTGTTTGTTTTGTGTGTGTGTGTGAGGAAGATTGGCCCTGAGCTAACATCTGTTGTCAACCCTCCTCTTTTTGCTCGAGGAAGATTGTCCCTAAGCCAACATCTGTGCCAATCCTATTTTTTTGTGTATGGGATGCCGCCATAGTGTTGCTTGATGAACAGTGTGTAGATTCATGCCTGGGATCCAAACCCACAAACCCCTGGCCACGGAAGCAGAGCATGCAAAACCAACCCCTTCAGCCCCACTTTTAAAAGAGAACAGCTTCCCACCCCTGGCATCGTTTGTGGGTTCTCTCTAAATTCTAGGGCACATTGTTTTGACGTTGTAATCATTTCCTGCTCTTCTTTAATACATTTTTTACATCTACCTCTGATAGTGACCCCTACTCTTTTTTTTTTTAAAGATTGGCACCTGAGCTAACATCTGTTGCCAATCTTCTTTTTTGTTCCTTCTTCTCCCCAAATCCCCCCAGCACATAGTTGTATATTTTAGTTGTAGGTCCTTCTGGTTATACTATGTGGGATGCCACCTCAGCATGTCCTGATGAACGGTGCCACGTCCCCACCCAGGATCTGAACCAGGGAAACCCTGGGCCGCAAAGTGGAGTGCGCAAACTTAACCACTTGACCATGGGGCTGGCCCCTGACCCCCTACTCTTGTCCATACTCTTGGCTCATAAAATCTGAACTTTTTAGCATGTGACTTTCAATGCCCTTCAGAATCGCACCCCAATCCAACCTTCCAACCTCACCTCGTCCTGTCTACTAACGTGTACCCTACCCTTCCCTAACACTTGATCATTATTTAGGAGAGTGGGCAATGCTTTCTAATGCCTCATCTTTGGACATAATGATGGCCGTGTTTCAGTCTGATTAATGCTTACTCCGGGGTCTCTGCCCTTTTCTATTTGTTGAATTAAAGGTGACCTTAGAGCAGAGGTTAGTGAAAATATTAAAAAGACTTTGAGAACAGAAAGAAAAAGAGGAGGTTGTGTTTTGCTGAGTCACATCTCGCCAGCCTCAGTTTCCCTCATGGTCCTCTCTAGGTCTACCCACTCTGCCTGCACCTGACATATCACCTCTAACCTCATTGATCACCTTGTAACTGTGTGTCTCTCCCTCACTGGACCGCCACCCTGGGAAGAGAAGCACAACAACTAATTCATCTGGGCTTCTCTAACCCCCAGCAGACTCTCCAGTAGAACACCGGCCCAGTCAGGGAACATGAGGGGTCTCACCTTCACATAATCATATTCGCAAAGGTAGGAGGATTCCAAGTTGAAGTGCATGAAGTAAAGCTTGATCCGAAATCCCTCTGGGACTGTGATATTCCACGTCACTTCCGAATCACTCGGATAGGAGTCTGGATAGCCGGGTGACTGGATCTGGCCAAACATATCATTGAGCTCCACAGTGTGGGCTTCAGCCTTCAGCAAGAAGCAGCACAGAGCATGGCAGAGAAGGAGCCGCCTGAAAGACAGGAATGGATCGACGTACATTCGCGGACACAGGTGCTCACCATTTAACTAAATCAGCAGCCGGGAGACCAAGTTCTCAGTATCTCTGCCGCGGACCTGCTGTAATGACTTTTCCCCTCTGGGCCCTGCTTACCCAGCCTATAACACAGGAAGATGGTAACTCGAGGATTTCTAAAGTTTCTTCCAGTTGGGTGTTCTTTTGAAGATTTGATAATACCATTAAACTTTCCCAGAAAGTATCACATTTGGGACTCTGACATATATCATTTGACTGTTGAAAATGTATATTTCATAATTAGGTGAAAGTTGATATTATTTCTTCAGCTCAGCTTTATTTTAAGAATCCTAAACTCTTGATTCGGTTTTCTAAAAAGTCAGTAATAGTAACACGGTAATATTGGGATGAGACATACACAATGATGCGATCTGCAGTACCTTACACAGATTTAACAAAATCAATAAGGAATGCAAAATTTTGAGTTAAGAAAAATGAGCAAAACAAGTGTTTTTTCCTCTTGGTAAATGTTCATATAAAAGGATCAAAATCCTACAATTTATTTTCAGGTGTAGCAATGAGAGATAATGGAAGATTCAAAGAGTTGCATAAAGGGCAGGGAAAACTCAACACAACTTACAGAGCATGCCCAAAGTGGCTGATGCAATGAGGCAGAATGTCCAAGGCCAGTCAAAACCCTAATGGTCAATATATACCACACCAGGCACCTAATAGATTGATCCCCCTGCAAGACCCAAGGACCTTGAACTCAAACGTCCCAAACCTGGCTCATCAACTTCTCTCCAAAGTCCTATTTATCCTGCTTCCTGTGGTGTGGAGCTCCATCTGCTTCTCTCCAGTGAGTTAGTTTAAACGTTCTTACCCGGCCTACTGCTCTTGCCTCCTGAGTGATCTCCCTCTCCCCTCTTTAATACTGTTCGGCAATCTTCCACCAAAGTTGGTTTGCTGAAACACCTATGTGACCATGCTATTCCACTAGCCTGTGGGATAAAGCATCTGCTCCCAGACAGCTGATGAGCCCTTCTTCATCTAGTGCTGATCTGCCTGTCCAGCCTCATCTCAGTGCCAGCAACGCTCTGTCATGTCGTTCTGGGAGCGTGCCATGCCCATCCATGCCTTGGCCCCATTGCACATGCCCTGCTCGTTCCTCACCTGTTTGTCTTCTTTATCCTCCACCATCCAGCTCAGAGCCTCCCAGGCTATGGGGTAACCTTCCCTCCTCCATATTCCACAGCTCCCTGTCCGTGCTTCCAGTAGAGCATGTATCACACTCCGGGCACAGCCCCTGAAGTTAGATGTATTTGGGTTCAAATCCCAATTCTTCTACTTACTGGCTGTGAAGTCTTGGGTAAGTAGTCTCTCTGAGCCCCAGTTTCCTTATATGTAAAATGGGGATTATAATCTCTGATTATAGGACTCACATGAGCATTGGAGATGACATACGCAAAGGACCTAGTACATAAGCTGGTATATAATAGACGGTGGATGAAAGAATGAATGAATGAAAGTGGGGACAGTGTCTTAAATATCCTAAAAAGTCAATGCTGGGAAATTATACCAGCATTTTTGGATTAATAATTACATCTTTGCTAATCAGGAAATTGTTTCTCCCTAACCCTCTCTCCCCAGTATACAGATGCATATATGTGTATCTATGCATACACATGAATTTTTAAGTCTGTAAACACAACAAGATAACTGTATATATAGATTATCTAGCTGTCTCACATAATATTTACATACATGGTAAATAGGTAAGTGCAAAAAGGCCTAGAAGGATATACACTGGGATATTAGCAGTGGTTATCTCTGAATTGGGAACATGAATGTTCTTATTTTATTTTTGTGTACAATATATGAAATGTTCAAATTTGTCTAGAAGGGTTTTGTACTAGTTTTTTAATACAAAGAAAATAAAAGTGTTTATGTTTTTTCCAAGGCCCCTACAATAGCAACAGTGAGATGCAACTAAAGAAACAAAATGTTTTAATTCAATTGCCAGGGTCAATATTTTTTTAAACCAGCCTGTGGAGGGAGGGCCTCCGAGGCAGAGAGAAGGGAAAGCTTAGGTCCAAGCTCTCCAGTGAATTCGTAGGAAAGCTGATTCCAGAAACTCTAACTTGCAGGGCCCCGGGTAGCCCCACTTTCAAGTGAGGAAATGTCCCAATGTTACTAGGGCTGGGAGTTCTGGCTCAGTTCCTCCTGCGGAGGGGACAGCACTGATCTTGGCTTATAAGAGCTATATTCAAGTCCAGGCTTTGACTTTAATTATCTGACGCATCTTGGGGAAGTCATGTGAGGTCTCAGTTTCTTCATCCATTAAGTGGTGATAACAATGACTTCCCACAGGGTCCCTAAAGGAGTAAAGGACAGATTGGAAAGTACTTTGTTAACTCTTCTTCCTTAGGCAAACATTAGTTATGATTGCTTCATCTTGCTGCTTCCCGAAAAGCAGGAGTTAGGAATGAGCTTTGGCTCCCAAACCCGACTTCCTTGCAATAGCAATGCTCAGATTATGCAAGGCTGAAAGGTCAGCTTTCTCCATGTCTGCTTTTCTCAGACCACATGGAGGAGACTGTGAGCCCCCTTAACGCTAGCTCTGTCAAGGGCTGGCAGCGGACAGCCCTGTCTAGCCTCAGCGGCCCCCGGGTGGTAGCCAACAGGTCAACATGGGAGGAAAGCCTGTGAATCTTTCTGTTCTATTTTGTTTGCATCTCAAAACAGTTTCAAACATATGAAACAAATATCTCCTTGCACATAATGGGCTCGAACATATGCTTGCCTGCTTGCTTTAGCGGCTGCAAACTGACGAATGTAAGTGGTGGCTTTCATTCCCCATCACACTCTCTGAATGTTTTTGGCTTCTTGTACACCAGGCACAGGCTGTACAATTCCCGACACCTGCTATCTATTCTCCAGCTAATTAAAGTTTAGCTACGTTTGCTTGAAATGTCAAAAGTAGTACATAAAGCTGGGATTTCATAGGCTCCACTGTAGGAGCAGGCTATCAGAATGCATGAAAATGCCTGCATATATCAAGGATTGTGGAATGAGTAGCACTTTCTATCCCCTTCATTTACTCTCCCCACTTCAATCTACACTAGCCAAGACTGTTTTTGAGTAGAAGAGTTGAAAGGACTATATAGATCCCTTTGACAACATCCTTATTTGACAGAGGATGAAAAGGATACCTCAAGAGGTGGTATGTCATGCCCAGTACCATATGGTGAATTAGCTTCAACAGAAAAAGGGAATTACAAAAGCTCACAGAGGAACCTGCTGGGTCCATGCCCATATCATGCCCAGGCATCTGGCCAAAGCAATTAATGCTGTGAAAAATGATTCAAAAATCCATGGCTTTATGTGGAAATTTAAAAAAAGATACTAATACCAAAGCCCCTTCCCAAAAGATTATGTTTAATTGTCTGGAGCGAGTTCTGTCATTGGCGTTTTTTAAAGCGGTGCAGATGATCCTAATGTGCAGCTGGGGTTGATGGCTGCCAGCATTGAAGGATACACTTGGTTGAGAGTCTGGTGGAATATAGTAGGGAAAATCCTGGACTTGGAGCCCAAAGACCCAAGTGTGAGTCTAGGCCTTTTCGAGATGATCAGTGTGGCTTTGGGCAAGTTGCTTAACTGCTTTTATCCTCCCTTCTCCATAAATCCTTACCTCATCCCAAATCTGAAGATCAGATGAGACAGTGCCTATCAAAGTGCTTTGCACACTCTGAAGTGCTGTGTCCATGTGAGGCAAGACCCCTTGGAGACTTCTCGTGGAGCACTTTCCCAGTGGCTGCTTTGCTATTCAACAACTGAATTCAATTCAGCCAATATTTATTGAATGCCTGATAGGAAACCGACGTTATGGTGGGTGCTGAGCATACAAAGATGAACAAGACATAGACCCTGTACCTTAAGGCACGTTCAGTCTTGGAAGCAGGGGTAGACATTTAAACAAGAAGATATTACAACGGCAAGAAGAGATGTAGCTCCCAAGGACAGAGACAGCACAAAGGAGGAGATGCTCACTCTGGGGATGCTGGCCAGAGGAGGTGGTGTTTGAGCCAGCTTGAGCAGTCTGGTCCTTGAGGTGGAAAATAAGAGGGAAAGCCTTTCGGGGTTACAGGATGAGTGAACGCAAAGACAGAGAAGTGTTAACCAGCCCTGTAGTTAGCAATGGCTGGGGCCCTGGGTGGCAGGGAGGGACTGAAATAGTGACAGATCAATCAAATTGTCATTCCACGTAGATGAGACTAAATCTCATCTATTTTAGGAGAAAGAAAAATGAAGTTATATGGCAGGTTTGAAATTACAATGGATTTAAAAAGAACAGAATGATTGAGTTAACCTTAAAGACCCGATTACCTCTCTGAACCACAGGTAATCTGAGTCCAAAGACTGAACACAGTCTGAAACCCCTCATTGGTCCCAGAACCAGAAAAGTTGCTAGGCGACTTTGCAAAGAGAAACAGATAGAAATGCTTTTCCAATTGCGAGGAAAATTAGTGGGAAAAGAGGTGTTTGGGGATTTAACGCGTCTGCAGAATGTTCTTTATTTTTTGGACTTTTAACAGCATTAACACTTGTAAGTAGTAAAAATAATTATGGTGGTTGGGTTTTGAGACTTGCAGAGGAAAACTTATAAGGAATGTCTGGTAAGAAGGATGCAGTAACTCCAAGTATAGGCTGAGGAATAGGAAATTTGAAGAACTTAAAAAAATTAGAATTTAAAGTCAGAGTTTCAGAACTCAGAAGGCTCTTTTTTTTTTAAATTTGTGGTATCCCTTTAAGAGCCATTTGGTGCAATTCATAGCCTGATTCATGCCACCAGCTGCCTCTGATTTCAGCGAGAAATGCAGAAATTTATAAGGAACTGTAAAATGGGGACAGGATTATAGTTTTCTAAATTGAGGTTTTGACTGGCAAACTTCTGAAGGTTTAAAAAACCACAGAGCTGAGCTGTCGGAAGCTGGTTTCTTTTCCGGTCTGAAGAAGTAAACACACAAACACATATCTGACTCACAAAGTATTGGAAGAGATAAACCAATGCTCTTTGCAGAGGAAGAAAGCAAAACAGCCTTGTGGGCAACAGGAGGAAAGTGACATTTGTCAGCCGGCAGCACCCTATGCTGGCAGAGGGAGAAATCTGAGCTTCCGCAGCGTGGGGCAGTATTTGCCCAAAGTCTCCCACTTCGAGTTGCATGTCTCTGGTGTCCCGGGGAAGGCGCCCAGCCCACTTCTCCCTTCTCAGAGCCCCAAGGATTGGTGAGAAACCCCCTGTACCACCCACAGGACGCACAGGTGAGTCTGTCCAGACACAAGGTCAGACCCTCCAGGCTGCTTGACACCTGGTCCCTGAAAGGGCACCCATGCCCACTCCTGCCCTGGCACTCACCTCATTTTCCTGCCTTGGGTGCTCCTGGCTGCCTGGCCTTGGTCGCCCTGGCCTGACTTGTCTGTGAGCTCGTCCCCGGTGTGGTGTCAGCGATGCCTTATCTTTGTTCTGAGGTCCCTGTGTGTCTCTGGAATTGGCTGGCATTCTCCATTCAGGTCACGCCTTCCCCTGCCTGCAACAGAGCCCTTCTCCCCCTCTCTCCCTCTGCTTCTTCCTCTCTCCTCTCTCTCTCTCCTCTGACTCGCTCTTACACACACTCGCAGGAACCTGACAGAACAGAATCTGTCTTCTTTCTCAAAAGATCTGCTCCTCCAGTTCCCTCCTTTATTCTCCTGGCTCCAGCCCTTGAGAGAAAATAACTGAGCGGCACAAATAGGTATTTGTATCACTATGTGTGTGCGTGCGGGTGTGTGTGTGCACGCGTGCATGTGTGTGGAGGGTAGAGGGACAAAGTCCAGTTTCTCTTTAGTCTCTGTTGCCAGATTGCTATAGTTTTCTGCTCTTCTTCAGGACACTGGCAAAAGGACACCAATTAAACAGAAATCACCAACCAAGAAGGCGGTTCTGACATCTACACTAGGAAAGAAAAGAGATCCAAATCCCAGAGCCTCAGTCTGTCAGCAAACAACCACGGGTCTCCCGTGAACAGAGCTGCTGGCCCGGGATGGGAGGGAGCACCAGGTCCTGCAGCTGGCCAGCTGTTCCTCCCCACTTAAAAGCGGTACTTGTGCTATTTACCAACTCGGAGTGTGCTGAGGTCTAATCCAGCCCAGAGAGGGTCTGTCACGGCCAGCATGCCCCACTCCCCAGGTCTGTAGACACGTAGAGACCCAGGGTTTGTGGAGCAATGCAGCACCAGATCTAAACTGAGCTGAATAAAAAGAAAATTACTCGCTCCGCAAATGACAACCAATACTGAACAGGGAGAGAGACGTCTGGGAGTAAAAAATAGATTGTACTGAGAGCCTTTTTTGTGCTAGGCACAGTGCTGGGCACAAACACCATTTCAATTATTCCCACAAACTTGTGAGGGTCATGCTATTATCCTGCATGCATTTTGCAAATGAGAAAACTGAGTCTCAGAGAGGTTCTCTGACTTGCCAGGATTATCCAGATATTTATGACTCCTTACTGTCAATACCATGAATAGTTAACATATATTGATCATTGTGTGTCAGGCACTGTTCTAGTATTGTGTTAATTCTCTTCAATCATCTTTCCATCTTGAATAGGTGGGTAGTAACGTTATCCCCATTTTACAGATGAGGAAACTGCCAAGAGAGGTTAAGTAACTTACCCAAGGTCACACAGCTAGAAAGTGATAGGGAAGAATCTGAACTCTTACCCACTGTACTGTACTACTTCTCACTAATATATTGTAATTCATATGGCATTTCGAATACACACAACATTCACAGAGAAACTTAATCTGAAGAAGTTTGAAAAGAATGTTAGTCTCAGAGTCAGAATTTAACTGTAATCTTTCCTTTCTATTCAAGCCAGCTGTGCACTTTGGGCCCAATACTTAACATCTCTGATCCTGTTTCCTCATCTGGAAAATGGAAGTTGCTGTGAGGCTTGGGTGAGCTTCTCTTGTGAAAATGCTTTTGTGGCTGTCCAGTGGTGTACCTGAGAGAGGGCTACCACTCGCTCTGACGGAGGCAGCAAACACACGTGCTTTGTGCCCTCTGATAACCTTGCTTTGGTGTATTCTGGGGAACTGTAGCGTGAATCCTGCTGAAATTCTCCTCGCTTCCTTTTCTCTCCAGTTTCTCTATTTTAACACTTCCGAATGTCAGCCTTGCCAAGCCTGGCGTTAAGAGGCCGCGGTCGATAATGTGGGTGCAGGTATTTGAGATGAGAGAAGACGGTTGCACTCAGGCAGTGTTTCAGCAAAGTGTCGCTTTCTGTTTCAGGAAGAGTAGGAAAAAAACCTTTAAAAGTCCCCTGAAGAAGACTTACAGGCTCCTCAGACATCAAATAACTCTCACAAACAACATTTTGATGATTTAAGTGTAAACAAATCAGAAACACATGGAGTACATTTCTCTTGGGGTACACAAGGGTTTTAAAACCAAAAGAGAAAGAGCTTGGCGTGAAGCACACTGCTGTGCAGAGGGCCCTGCCCACTAAAGACATTCCCTCCCTTCTCCTAATTTAGGGCACAGACAGGGAAATGCAGTCCTTTGTTCTGGGCATGGAGGAAAGAGCTTCGGAGGGAAAGCCACCAGCTTCTTGTAAAGTGTCAGAGAGCAATAGAGCCTCTTGCAGTAATTTCCCGGCCATGTTTTTTCAAGCCTGCCAATGTTCAATGGGAGGCATTTGAAATATGTTCTGAGCCAAAGTTCTGCCAATACACAGCAGATCTGATATGTGCTTCCCTGGGAGTTAGCCAAGGCTCAGATGGAATCTGCATGAAAACAGGAGCTGTGTGGCTCAGTGAATGATCTGAGTGGCATGCACTCAGTTTCCCAAGGGGTTGGATTGCGTTGGTGATATTGTCCCGACCTTCTGATAAAAACTCCCTGAGGCACGATTGATAGATCATGGGGAGTAGGAGCAATGGAAGGAACGTTGGTCTGGAAGTGCGCTCAATATGGTCGGCTAACTTGTACAGGACCTTGGGCAAGTCACTTGCTTTCTTGGCTGGATGGGGGGAGAGGAAGTGGGGCATCAGTTTGCTCCACTGTAAAATCAGAGGATTGGACTCCGTTGAGGTCAAGAAGCACACGTCAATGTGGGTGTGAGGACCACGGGATGACACTGCAGTGGAGGTGGTCAGGTGGATTGCTAATGACCTGTAAAGAGCATCGAGGAGTCCAGAGTGGCCTTCTCCTCTTGACTCTTGCTTTATCTGTGGTGATCACAGCATTACATTACTCAGGTTTCAATCACAGCAATTCAGAACAACAATTGTTAAGAAGATTCAACTAGCTTTTTAAAAAAATTGACAAAAAAAGCTTAAAATATGCACATCAGGAACTCGCAGTATGTCATTTAGAATCACAGAAGTGTGGAATGACAGATGTGGGCTCAGCACCCCCAGGTTGTAGTCAGGGAAAGGGATCAGAGGCTCCTGCTAGGAGAGTGAATGCTGCAGCATTCCAACCACTGGAACCAGGCTTGGTTTACATCTTCCACTCGAGTATTTATTATATGCAACTCCCGAGCTGAGACTTTCTGGAATTCCGTGAATGTGTTAGAAAATGTAAACTATTTGGGCAATGGATTTTTGTTGGCAAAGTCCGAAATCCAGGCTTCCTATAGAAAATCTAAGAACCTGATAAACAGCCCTGAAGCTCGCACCTTAAAAAAGTCAATTTTGGGTTGTACAACACACGGACTGACAGTATGCTCAAAGTCATTGCTTTGGAACCTATCAGATCATCAGAAAAATAGGGGAAATTTAAAAAAGACCAATCCCTGAACTCCATCCCAGGAGATTCAAAATCAGTGAATCTGATGTGGGGCTCCAGAATCTGTAATTTTAAATGGCACGATTTTGCCATTTTGAGTACATATAACGGAATGGTGTATCTGATAATTGATGACATTTTAGATTTGATGAAATATCCTTAGTGTTATCAGATACTTCCATATACATTATTGCATTTAATATTCACATCTTCTTACAGATGAAGACACTGAGGTTCAGAGAGACTAAGTGTGCCAGTAAGAGGACAATCAAGACAATCGATCTCTAGAGCCCATGCCTCCTGACCTCAAATCCAGGACTCTTTCCCCCTCCTCTGCAGACTCCTGATCCTGCCTGTGGACTGTGAACATCCATGAGCCATGCTATCACGTGACTGTAAGATTTCGGGGAAGGGAAATGACATCTGTTCGAAACATAAACTACTAGGCTCTGTAACGGACTGAGTTATATCCCTCCAGAATTCATACGTTGGAGCCCTAACCCCCAGTATCTCAGAATGTGATTATTTGGTGGTAAGGTCTTTGAAGAGGTGATTAATGAAAACGGGCTGTTAGCGGGGCCCTAGTTCAATATAACTGGTGTCTTTATAGTAAGAGGAGGTTGGGACACAGACAACACAGAGGAAAAGACCATGTGAGGACACAGCAAGAAAGCAGCCATCTGCAAGCCAAGCAGAGATGCCTTAAAAGAATACGATGACCTTGAATTTTGAAACACCTGCCAATATCCTGATCTTGAACTTCCAGTCTCCAAAACTGTAAGAAAATAAATTTCTGCTGTTTAAGCTAGCCAGTCTGCAGTACTTTATTATGGCACCCCAATTAAACTAATATAGGCTCTCTTGGGTGAGGTTCCCCTAAAGCATGGAACACATGCCACCAGTGGTGTCAAGCTGATTTCAGGTGCCACATACATGGAATTAACAGACACTAGATCAGTTAAGATTCTGTTTGGTAGGTAATAAGACAAAGCTTGACTAATGCTGAAATAGATAGAATTTGTTTTCCTCACACAGCAGGAAGTGAGAGGGAGGGAGGGAGGTCTGGGGCAGCTGCTCAACATTGTTTTTTTTCTTTTTGCTCTGTCAGCCTTAGGATATGGGCTTTTACATTCGTACTTATCACCTCGTGGTCACAAAAAGGTTGCTGTAACTCCAGATGTTATGTCCATATTCTAAGCAGGAAAAGAGGAAAAGGTAGCACTGGGGAACTTCTTATGTATCACAAACCAGAGCTGTGTCACACGGTCACCACTGAGTGCAAGGGAGGCTGGGAAGCCCAGTTCTTACTTTTACAGCTTACGTAGCAGAGGCAGGCAGCAAGGAAGACAGAGGTTGGAAGGGGGGTTGCGTGAGTCACCTCATATACCAAGGAAGTCCTGCCTTTTTCATTTCTTTCTCACTTCTGATAATTTTAAGAAGAAAGTCTGAAAGTAGTGCCATTATGCTATTAAAACGAATCTTCCTTTCAACAAGGAAAGGCAGGTCCCAGGATCAGAGTCTTATGGAGGCAATAGTGTGTAATCTACTAGAATTTCACAATTTTTTTTAGTCATTGTCTTTATTTCCACATTTATGGTAGTAACACACTTTCAAATATGTGGATTTTAGTTTAAAAAATCCTGAGAGGATTGAAAGAAAAATATAAAATAAATAATAGTATAGATGGTATTCATGTATATGAAAAAATTGTAGAGGTAAAGGACTAAATGTTGGAAACATCAGTCTAGAGCGTGGGCTCAGTAAAAGCAGCCCAGCATACTGGAAGAGGACTGGGCTGTGGGTCAAGATGCCAGTGATGGAGGCCACATTCTGCCCCACCCAGTGGGAAGCCTTGAGTTCTTTGTCTGTCCATCTAGGCTTTGGATTTCTGATTCACAATGATGATGTTGGATTACGTGTTTCGTTTTCTTAAAGCACATTCCTACTTAAACACTTTATGATATCTCTGTTTCAGTGTATGTAACTACATACTCTTACGCTACTATTAACACTGCATTAAAGTTTTAGAAGATCTCAAAGTAGTTTTAAAAAGAGGGTGCATTCTGGGATGACACAGAAGAAGGTATTCCTGAGAGCAACGATTCTCTTTTTTTACTCATTTCATCCTCAAAAGAACCAATAAAGGCCATACATTATCATCTTCGCTTTACATATATGTTTAATAATACTGAGATGAGGTGATGAAGTCCCGGAGGAGGGAAATGCATTGCCCCAGGGTCACATAGAAATTAGGTGGTGCAGCTGAGACCATGAACTCAGATTTCCCTACACCCACGCTCTTTTATATTAGGTTGTAGGCCACTCTAACTGAGATGAGTACTTTAAAAAGAAAGTTGTGTTTTTAAAGGTTCAAAGTGGTCCTTGCCTGGCCAACACAGCCTGACTCTCTACCACACAGTATTGTCAAATAAAGAGGTAAGCTGAGGTGTTTTGACCTCTCTCAAAGAGCAAAATCTTCATTCTTTCTCAGCTGCCATTAGGCCTGCGGGTTCCAGAACCTACTTTGGTCTCTATATAAGAGAGGACAACTCTCCCCTTTTCCCATCTCTTAGCCTAAGCTCATTCCCACCCTCTTCCTCAAAATTCATATGTTAAAGCCTGACCCCCAGTGTCTCAGAATATGACTCTATTTGGAGAGAGGGCCTTTAAAAGGGTGATTAAGTTAAAATGGGGCTATTAGTGTGGGTGCTAATCCAATATGACGGGTGTCCTTCTAAGAAGAGGAGATTAGGGCACAGACAGAAGGATGACCATGTGAAGACACAGCGAGAAGGTAGCCACCTGCGAGCCAAGGAGAGAGGTCTCAAAAGAAACCAAACCTGCCAACACCTTGATCTTAGACTTCAGAACTGTGAGAAAATAAATTTCTGCTGTGTAGGTGACCCAGTCTGTGGTATTTTGTTATGACAACCCTAGGAAACCAATATATCCTCCAGCCTTCCCTTACATTTGTACCTAAATCTATTTTATACCAACTATAGTTGCAATCCACTCATATTAGGTCTCCTCTTCCTAGGGGTTGCCCAGAAGCTAAGTTCACATGGAGCAGCAGATTCAACCACAGGACAGAACTGATTAGGCCGTAAGAGGCAAAAGGAGAGCTGGGGTCAGACCGTGTAGGGAGAAGGACTCAGATTACAGAGGAGTCGGGGTCCTCACTTCCCTAACTCCCTACTGCTATTTCATGACCATTAATTTTCCACTCTCCTTCTGAATTCCCCTGCTCTTCTATCATTCATCTTTGTTTCTCTGCCTGTTTGTTCCTTTCATTAAGAATTTAGGCATGTGGCACCATTGTTTGCCAATTCCTCCTGACATCCTGGGTGAGCCTGGGCTCTGGGTGAGCCTTTTCTCGTCTTCAGTGATGACTTCTTAAACTTCATCTTAGCCATTTACTACTTACTTAGCCCTATCCACCTCTGAAATCTTAAATTTGTAACACCCCATTCTCTGACCACCATCTCTTATCTTTCTAGGTCTTTTGCTCCTATATCTAGACTTCAACCTCACCAAGACGTCCAGTCCTTTGACACCATTCCATTTTCAGTCTGTCAGATCCTCTTGGCTTTACACATTTTCTGAATCCCAGAACCAATCACCAGCACTCCTTTGCAGATTATTCTTTCTCTACCTGTTTCTTGGCTTTCTTTTTACTTCAGAGGAATGGCTCTTCATCTTTCTGATGAATCACTGAGAATCTAATGAAAGCTAGATTTCCTCTGTCTGGAATATCCCCAATAGAGCCACATAGTTCACTTCCTCAACTCCTTCAATTCTTTCTAAAGCTGTCACCTTTTCAGTGAGGTCCTTCCTGACCACTCTATTTACTACTTCTAGTTCCACCCACACTTGCTATCCCCATATCCTGTTTCATTTTTTTTCATGGCACTAACCACCAGCTAAGATGCTATTTACTTTAATTATTTACTTGTTGCTTGCTTCCCACTCCATTTGAATAACATAATCTCCAAATAGGCAAGTATTTTTGTATTTTTTGTTTACTGCTCTATTCACACTACCAAGAATAGTGCCTTTGACTTGAACATAGTAGGACCTTAATAAACATTAGTGGAATGGGCCTTCTCTGAAGAAAAATCTAAATATACACATACTCTTAAAACTTGGCATATAATTTCTGGGACCTGCTGGCCCTCCTGAAGCTATGAATCTCGGTTTTAACCATTCTTCCTGAATATTTCTCATACACTCCACCACTATAGTTTTAAATACTGTTACATAGTGATCACTTACAAATCTATTTATTTAGCCTAAACATCTTCCCACAGTTCCTCACCCGCAAATCAAGTGTCTATTCCCACCTCCCTCTGAAGGTTCCATTGGACAGAGGTCGTTATCTTTCCATTCCGAATTTGCTCATTCTCCTGCACCAACTATGTACATGAACCATTGTCAACTCAGAAACCCAAGCCGGATATTGGAGTGTCACCCCTGATTTATTTTTTTCCTTTCCCCTCATATGCCATCAATTAATAAGTCTTATTGGCTATATACAAGTATCTTGCAAACCCATTATCATGCAGATCCACCATTCCTCACTGCCCCCACATTAGTGGAGGGCTTCATTAGTTCTCACTGAATTATTTTGACAACCTCCTAATTGGTTTCTCCGCCTTTAGTACCACTCTTATAAAAATACAAGTCTCATTAATTCTCTCCCTCTGTCAAAACTTTCATTGCCCTCTTTGGCTTATAGAATATAGTTAAAATATCTTAGAGTAGCATCTGAACCCTGGAGGTTCCTGTTGACCTGAGGTGCCAAGAGATTGAAGTAGCCTGCAGTATTCAGCCAACATGTGGAGGACAGCTGTCCTGGAGAGTCGCTGGGGCCCGCAGCAGACTTTGCGTGAGTAAAAAAAAACTTGTGTGAAGCTACTGAGCTTTTGGAATCTTAAATGGAGTTACTCTTTCACTTCCATATTCTTCCCTGCCACCAGCACACTTAGGCACAAACACTTTTTTTTTTTTGAGGAAGATTAGCCCTGAGTTAACATCTGCTGCCAATCCTCCTCTTTTTGCTGAGGAAGATTGGCCCTGAGCTAACATTGGTGCCCATCTTCCTCCACTTTATATGTGGGACACCTACCACAGCAAGGCGTGCCGAGCGGTGCCATGTCCGCACCCGGGATTGGAACCAGCGAACTCCAGGCTGCCAAAGCGCAACGTGTGCACTTAACCACTGTGCCACCGGGCCCCCCCCCCCACCCCCGCAACACATACACACTTTAACGTCTAGAATTTGTACAAGACCAGTTGCATATTCCAGATTCTTTCATGCTCTCTCATGCCTGTACGCACTTATAGACTTGATTCTCTTGGTCTTTAACGATATTTTCTCTTTCTCATTTGTCTGTAAAATGTCTTCTCATTTATCCTTTGAAATCTTGTTCAAATGTCAGTTTCTTTGGGAAATCTTCTCTGATCACTCAACACAGAAGTAAACATTACCTTTGTTCCTTATACATACTTTAAATTATTGCATGTGTCAAATTATAGAACAAATAATTGTCTACTTGTGTCACACTTTCACTACAATAATTCAAGGGCCTGAATACATAGATACATATACATACTTTCAAATGCATAGATGTTTAAAGAATTAAACTTTTAGAAAGCATCAAGACAGATAAACACATAACTGAATCTGTAATTACAAATCGTGATGAGAACCATGCAGGAAGAGAATAGTGTTCTATGCCAGAGACTAATAGAAGGGCCCAGTTATACAAAGTGGTCAGCAAAGTCATGGTGGTTTAAGCTGAATAGAAT